GGGGGGGGGGGGGGGGTCTCTTTCTCATGCAGAAAGCTATTTACAGGGAAATGCGATGGATTAGCTGAAGCTCATCAATAGGGAGCGCCTGCTCACCCGGTGCTTTACAGACTGGCCACCAATCGAAGGGAATTTCAATATTTACCTACATCCTCGTTTTGTTAGTTGCAGTTAAGCAAACACGCAATTCGCTAATTCATGTTAGTGGATGAGTGAGACTTGTTTAAGTATTTTCCTTCCACGCTAATGATGATTCATTTGAATGACTTTAGGTGTGAATTTTGACTCACGGGCCATTGAATACAGATAAACAACAGGGTGGTTCGTTTTAACATCTATCCATGAGCCAATTTAACGATCATATTACAATTACATTAACTGGGCAGATAGTTTTGTTCTGACCTATTGTACATATGTTATTTGTCTGTCACACACACACACTCCTGCAAACAGAAGTATATAAAATGTATTCACACACTGTTGGAGTGAGATGAAATACACAAGGATTAAAGGCACCCAACACCACAAAGTCACATCACAAAATGCCAAAACAGTCAAAAGTGCATTCATCAGTCTACATGAATTAAATCGATCGTTTCATGTATTTGTTTTATACAGTGTGGCTCCGATGGCATTAGTACCCCTGCAGAGGCAGATCATGAGGAATTGTTTAGTGTTAGGCTGTACCGGAGATCTTTGAGTTCTGAAAATCATTTTCGAGCTGAGGTTAACAATTGTTTAGGTCCTTTTGATGAAGGAAAGCAAAGCAACAAATTACTGAAAAAGTCTAGTTTGTGTTGGCCGCTACAAAGTATTAACTTAAGGGGGCTGAATAATTTTGCACGCCCAATTTTTCAGTTTTTTATTTGTTAAAAAAGTTTGAAATATCCAATAAATTTCGTTCCACTTCATGATTGTGTCCCACTTGTTGTTGATTCTTCACAAAAAAGTACAGTTTTATATCTTTATGTTTGAAGCCTGAAATGTGGCAAAAGGTCGCAAAGTTCAAGGGGGCCGAATACTTTCGCAAGGCACTGTATATATACCTAATTTGTGACAGCAAATGTGATTTGAAAGGGAGTGATGTCACCCAGATTGTTTTCTAATAACATAATGGCCAAGTCGCAAATATGTTGATGCTGAATTTATTAGGAAAGCTTTCAGTGTATTTCATTTTTTACTATAATATCTGTTCATAATACCTGAGTAAAATGCACTATTCAGCTTTTTTAGGTTTAGTCACTTGCAGCACTTGGTTAGAATTTTTTTTTAAAAAGATAAAGTGACTAGAAAGTGATTAAATTTTAACTGAAACTGTGATCTTTCTCTGACCTTAAACAGTCTAATAGAAGCTCTTCCTGCCTTTGGACTTTTTCTTATGCTGCTTTGTAGAATTACAAATTTTACACAAAGGGTATAAGTGGACAGTTTTAGAACAAAATCCTATTCTACATCAAATACACTTCTGCCTCCAGCCTATTAAAATGGGGGTGAGTGGAACTGGGTTTCTGGTGGTCGAAGCAGTGGTTCACTGCTTTCAGTATTGCAGCTGTAGAGTATGTATTTGTTCATTATCTACAGTATTTATATGAAGTGAACTATTGGTTTTGTTCAGCACATCTAGAGTCAGCAGCTTTAGTCTGTATCCTGTTTTTAGGGCTTGTGCTTCTGTGAAGCCCTGTGTATGAGTGTGTGAGGCAAATGGAAACCACAGACACACTTACCTCTGAAAAACATGAGCTATTTCACTGTCCCTCTGAAAAAAAACACATTGATGTGGATTTGTTTTTTATGTGTTTCACACTGTATTTGTTGTGTCATTACAATTTCTGATTTTGTTATTTTTCAATTTTTTGTATATGGAAGTGGTGATTTCAGTTACCACCTTAAAGCAAAGTCTGTTTTTAATCTGTATTTTTTAAGCAGTGCTAGCAGAATGGCTCTATAGATGGAAATTTCAGTCAGTCGGGTGGTTGGTCCATCACTTTGGTCAATACTGAAATTGGTTGGATTGTAGTGAAATCTTCATGTTTTGTCCTAGAACATGAATCGTACCAACTCCTGGTGACCCATAAGTTCTCCACTACCAACCTATGGTTCAAACTAGTGGGTGGGTATAAAGCTTGCAACAGATATTTCCATTCTGCAGGATGACTTGTACTGTAGTAACTTTGGTAGACCCTTCATCTTGTACCACAGTCAAGCATCATGTGATGGAATAAGATCCAGACTTGGTTTAACGTGTGAGATCCAACCACCTGGAAAAGCAAACCTCTGTAGATTCTGTGGTTTATAATTAGCTACTGTTTGTCTGTGTGATTTAATGTTTCTGAAGTAGAAATCATGTTTCCACTGTGGAGAATTTATTGTAAAGTGATTTGTGGTCCGCTGCTTGCATGTTTATTGTAATGTTAGAAACCCACTTTTGTTTAGCTTCATACCTCACTAACTGCCAGTGGTGGTTGTCACAGCTTAGGATCTATAATTATTATTATTGTTTTCAACAAGCAAATTTAACCCACTCTGTATATCTTCATGATGTGACTCTGGATGATTGATTGCTGGAGGGGGGAAAGCAGACAAAACAAATGATAGCACTAAATCTGAATGTACCCAGGTTTAACAGTAAATTACACAAAACAACAATTTAAAGTTAAGAAACTTTATTTTAAGGACATATTCAACATGAATATTTGCTGAGCATTGTAATGGCAACAAAATAAGCAAACATAAAATATATATACATACATATAAATTTCGCATTGTCTTAGCTGCCGCACTGAACCAACTAAGCATCATGCAATTCCATTTTTAATCAAACAAGCAGTTTGCACACAGCACAGCTCTAGTTAGTCAGCGGAAACTTAGTCAAAGCCACAGCTTTTTCAGTTTACAATAATGTAAACATTACTTTTGTATGTAACAAGTAAAATATGCACAGACACATAAATGTTAATTTGGTGTTCTTCCATAGCACTCCAGAAAAAAATAAAATAAAAAAGAACCTCAATCATAACTGAGGTGACATTTAACAAATGGCCAGCACCGACCATACTAGTATATTCATTTAACTCTCCATTCAAAATCAGTGGTATTCAAATGGTTCAAGGCAGATACTGTTCTGCTTTGGTTTCTGCGCTTGTGTTTTTCATACAACATTTTCATATGAACATGCAACAGCGTCCACCTTGTGAGGCCCACCAGGCACAGATCTGACCATCTCCCACTTCTCTCGCGCACAGTGAACAGTCTGTGGATGGAAAACACATACATTTAATTTAGGCCCTTATCAAGCCAATCTGGATATTGGAGTATGCAATGAGAGACAGCATATTCAAGCACAGGTACAACTAATTGTATAACTACAAATCAGTTGAAACTATTTACAGGCGTGGTGCCTTTGTATTGTCAAACCTAACTATTTGAATGCTGTGATCATTAAACATTGACTGTGTATAACATTGAATTTAGATAAAAGTTCAGGTATTTTTATGTGGAGGCAGTGTGAATCCTCAAATCTTTGACAGTGTTTTCTTAGTGTAGCCCACAAGCACATGACACCAACCAGGGAAAACTGTTACTACTGAAAATCACTTTCAGCTTTTCCTGTTCATGGGTTGCCACAGCGAATTGTCACACTGACGACTCGCATGTTGACATTTGGCACGTGTTTTATGTCGGATGCCCTTACTGACGCAACCCTGATTGGAACCCGGGCCACAGCGGCGAGAGCGCTGCGCCTTAACCACTAGCCTACCAGGACTGTTACTACTACTGGTACAAAATAAATAATATAATAACTATAAGAAATAAAACCAGTCATTTATAACATGAATTAATCATAACATGAATAAAAATAAAATAATCATGCTCTGACCTGGAAGTAGATAATGATACTAAGGACAAAAAGGACCAGTACCACCAGTACAACCACAGAAACACTGACTGGTGCCATTGTCTCTTGACTCTCATTCTCTTCTTCATCACTCTGGAGTGAAAGCTGTCTGCCAGTGCCCTGCACAGGACAGTCAGGGCTCTCTGTCAACGAAAGAAAAGCTGGATGAAGGGAAAGTGAGATTTTAATGAGACACAGAAGGACGTGTGCTCTCCGACACGTCTGAATGTCTTGTGTGGGCGTCTAACCTAAACTATGAATGAGAGTGCCGTTGCCAATGAGGTGCAGGTATGGTGGTGGGTAGAAGACCTCTATGTCACAGCGGTACAAGTCTGTGTCTGTGGCTTTCAGTCCAGACACTGTCACCTCCACGGCGCCATCTCTCACCTGAGCAGAGCACTGCACCTGGAACACACAATAAACCAGGGTTTCCCAACCTTCTAAATTTTGCTTACAAAGAATACTTTAAAATCTAATAGCCTTCCCCTTGCATTGGAATTGTGACTTTAGTGCTACCCTCATGACAAATACAGTAGTCTGTTTGTGGCAGACCCACTTCAACTTTAATGGTTCAGTGATTGAAAGCTGCCTTACTTTGGTTAAGTTGGAACAATTCACATCCATCTGTTCACAGACTTACCTCTCCCTTTTTCTCCACAGCTGCCTGGTTCTCTTCTGTGAAGCTGAGGATAGATGAGCAGAGCTCCTGGCTGCCATGCAGACCTTTCAGCAAAGTCACGCGGAGATGCTCAGGGCCAGGGTAAGGGTATGGTGGGCTCTGGTTATAGGAGGGTTGGATCTGGTGGTAGGCGGGTTGAGGCTGGATGAAGCACTGGACCTGTGCTGTACCATTGGTGCTTACCACTCTGTAGGGTTGGATCACCTTCACAGCTGGCACATAAAAGGAAAGGTTAGGGAGAGATCGTTAGGGAGTGACAAGTTTCTTTTCATTGGCCTCTGAGAATTTTGACATCATGACTGTGTACTGAATCCAAAAGGCAAAGAACAGATAAGCAGCTGCAGCAGTCTGCAAAGGACCAGCTACTAACTTGCAGAGGTGGGCAATGAAAATGTTCATTGTGTTTGTGACAGTTACTTGAAAATACAGCGAATTAATCACTCTGTATTATTTATTTAAAATGTTATTACATTACTTCACCAATTACTCAGGAGCACAGGTATTTAGTTCTGTTACTTGTTACATTAGTTTTTGTTAACCAGTGCAGCGCTGACAAATATGAATAAGAATCATCTTCAATGGCCAAGTATGTTTGACCATACAATTAATTTGACTCCAGTACAGAGGCTCTCGAAAATTAAAAATAACAATGAAAATAAAAATGTAAAAATTTGCAAAAAAAACCCCCCCAAAAAACTATAAAAATAAAAAATAAAATTCAATGTGTGCCTTCAAATAGGGTGCAATCAAAAATAGGAAAGGATGAGAGAAAAGATAAACTATTTATAATGTGTATACAAATATATCTATATATTACGACAGAAGAGCTTTCAGACTGATATATACTGTGGTAATATTTACAGTTTATTGCAGTAAGGTGGCTGCCTGCTACCAAAACGGAAAGCATGGAAAGCATTCACACCCACATATCATTTCTTCTGTGTTTAACACATGGAAGCAAAAATGAAACATTGTGGTTTGCCTGCACACAAGTGCTGTGCAGTCCCACGCACCCCAAACACTTAAAACCAGGTGAATCCTTCATGTATACTAACTCAGTGCCTGGCTAGCTAGGAAACGTGTTCTGTACATTCTTTCCACTGCACACACACACAAAACAATTGAAATCTTACAGTAAAACAAGAAACAGCAAACAAGCTGACACTTCAAAATAAAGTCATGGAGTGTTGTTGATTTTTTTTTTACCACAGTGCCCTTGCAATTGTTACATTTCCAAGTAAAGTTATCACAGCATTAAACACAAGACTATGACACTACAGTATAACCATGACATGACAATTTACCAATTTAAGCCACCACAGAATCAAAAATTTTAAATCTCATTCTAAAATCATAAATTTTTAGCTGCATTGTTACATAATTTTATGAAAAGCAGCTTGAGGAGATTAAAAAGACCTTTAGATAGAGGGCCACTCACATCTGTGTGGTGAATATACTGTAACACAGACAGCAGCTGTTAGCTTAGCGTAGCAAAAAGACAGTAAACAGGGGGAAGCCGCCACCCTGACTCTCTCCAAAGGAAAACACGGTGTGGATTAAACTAACAAAGATAAAATGTGTGAAATTCAGAGGAGCTTTAACCCAGCTAAGTGTTTCCCGGTCTTTGTGATAAGCTAAACAGCACCTGGCTCCAGCTAATCTATATATGTACTGCATAGACAGGACAGCAGCATAGCCTACTGTGGCTCCTCTCATCTACATTCCAAAAATGTCACATTAGGCCTTTAACTATGTATAGGAGAGTAGTTTACTGTCCCTTTTCTGTGCTTAGCTTTCTGTGTGGTGTTTTATGGACTGCCAAAGTAAAGCAGGTGTTTGCTAAGAGGCATCAACATCTCCATGCCTTTCATGCCTGAAATAAGTTATATTAAGGAGCTTCTGCCTTCATATAACTTGTTGTATGATCAACATAGGACACACCAGTAAAGCAATAGTGTTTATAGTCCTACAGTACAGTCACAGAATGTGTTTTTCTGAAATTATGAAAAATTAATTAAATTGTTACTGTACATATCTCTCTCTCATCTCATTTTCTATACCGCTTAATCCCGAACGGGGTCGCGGGAGTGGGGGGCTGTTATTTGTGAAATCTTAAGGAGTCTCTAATGTGCTGCTATGAAGATCTAGCTTTCAATTCAATCTGACAATGGAGAGAAAAGAATGTTGAAATCAGCCCGTGTCGTTGATTGTTTGGCTGAGGACCCTAAAAAGTGCCAGCAAATTTGTCACGTGACACTTTGCTGAACGTCTGTCCTTTGTTACCTAAAAGCTGAGCATTAACACTAAATTGTACCAACACATGCACTGAACATCACTATGTAAAAGTTTGTTTATACTCACCAGTCCACACAGGCAGGCAGAGACAGAGGACTGTTAATACAGTCCATCCTAACATACAGTGAGTCAGGAACATCCTACAGTGTCACAGTCACACACAGACAGCCACAGACACTTAGAGTTCACAAATTGCTGGTGTGCACACACCTTCACACTGAACAAATTTCTTTAAAACACAGCAAAAACAGTGAAACTCACCTTTATAGCTGTGCTTTTTTCCCTCAGCTGTCATGGAAACTGTGTGCGAACACAGGAAGTGATGACAGTGTATTGCCAGTAAAGAGAGACAGCAAGTGTTAAGTGCCTGGAGGGAAGGTTAGAAGAGCAAATTTCAGTGATTCTATTAAGCTAGTTTAGTCTTGGCATTATTAAAAGTATCTTTTTCTCAAGCAAAGAAACAGAAGGCAAAAAAGCTAAAAAGCCGCACACTAATAATATGTTATTGTATATTTGCATAGGCACAATACAGGTAAAGTCACATAAGAGAAAAGCTTTGTAAAACATGATGCCCAGTCAGGGAAGTAAAAAGAAAATCCCTTCATACTATACACAACAAAAATAAACTTCAGAATAAGAGTCACAAAAGAGCACCTCTCACATATCATGTTGGGAAATATGCAAATAGAGATTCAAGTGAAAATTGTTTGGTTTAGCAATTTTTTTTACATCTCTGTCAGTGTCAGCAGAGATGCTCAACAGAGGCCTCTGCAAAAACTGCTGATTTAACTTGTGCTGCAAAATATATGTCACATCCGAACAGTTCTCACGTTCTTTCACCCAGTATTCATCCACAGTTTGTAGTGAAATAGGTTTGTATTCTTCTTTTGGCCTTTTCAGATGTTTCAACACTGATCAATAGAAAGATTTTATTAGGTTTGATATGCTTCAGAAAAAAAAACTATTAAACCACTCTTGTGGGAAAAAAACAGCAATGCATTAATGACTTGAGTATGCGGAAACTTTTGCAGGTTTAGTAGCTTGTACTTCTGTGGCTCACCCAACTGAATCTCTGCTGACTCTACATAAATTTTCCCAGCAAGATTTAGATTCACTCCCATCAATGACTGTAACAAGATAAATGATTGAAAATGCTGTTGTCTACATTGGTTTAATTTCTGTCTTCATGACTGTGCCCAGAGTACAAAGTAGTATCCTGATGATTTCATCACATTGTAGTAGATGTAGGACATAAACTCAGCTTTTGGCATGTCAGCTCTCTTTGTGGAAACTCCAGGGACCCAGAAAATCTGAGGATTTTTTTTTTTAACTCAAACAGATGCATCTTTGCATAATTTAACACTAAATAAAGCAAATCTGAATCAGCTGAACTCCCTCTTTGTCTTTCAGTCGATTTAAAAATATGCACTACATTTTCAGTGGAACAGAATGAGATGTTTTCTCAGCCTGAGAAAAGCTAATAGAGCAGCATGATTACAGTGTTTTGAGCAGGATTTACAGTGGATGTACAGCTGCTTCTCCATAATAGTAATTTATTCTGGTTCAGTCACAGCTTGTGACCAACATGGAAGTGTTACTTAACCATACACTCTGTTTTATTCCTCACAGAAACTATGTGGTACTTAATAGGAGGATGATGGAGGAAGCAGCTGAAACAGACGGGAGACATCAGGCGAGACCTACCAGCTATGGACAGCAATTGCTGATGATGCCCTTGTTGTTGACTCACCGGTGATGAGGGTCCACTCATCTTCAAAGAACAGCTTTGTACAGTAAGATATGTAAAGCTCAGGCTTAACGTTATGTCATTCTTATCTGTCCCTAGCTTTTTTTAAGGGAGCTTGTTTACAGCAGCACAATCTGTGGGTCACAGGTAACAAAGAAAAAAATCTAAATAACTGCTGCTGCATTTAATTAATTTTTGGTAGATTATGAAGTAATGTCACTTTTAAACCTGAGAACTAAAGACATCAGTTCCTCTTTATTTGGTATCGGTTTTAAGGTGGTGGTGGGTTAATCTATCCTAACTGTGTCTGTGACAGGGTAGACAGATGGTCTTCTTCAGGGTCCTTCAGTTATCTTACATGGCACAAAAGAGACGTGCCACAATAATAGCACATGGATATGAACCCTGTCTCTATTATGCTGAGTAATATTACTCATGGGCCATGGTCCCCCCTGACCCTGGCCCACTAGTAATATTACCCAGCATACAGCCCACCCAGAGCAGACTAGGAGGGCTCTATTTGACACACACAGGTTTTTGTTAAAGAATACAATATGTAACATACCACAGCAATATTATTAGATAATTTATATGAAATTCTCACAATAAAGCTGAGTACTAGACAGGCTGCACAATGCAGAGGATCAAATACAGTCAGCTGTACAGTATTGTAGAGCCTCTGTGTACCTGTACATTCATCTTTTTATTTACATCAGTTACTTTATTTACCAATAAAACATTGAGAATGTGGATTATGTCAGTACAGACATGTAGACTAGAAACTCCTCAGATCAGTGCCTTCCAATGCATTGTAAATATAATCTCTGATGTATGTGTTGTTTTGAAATTGAGTGGGTGATGCAATTAAAGGCAATTCACCATGTTTAACATTTTCTGTTATTTCATCATGTTTTTCTTCTTCTTTGGAATCTTAGAATGATTTTGTAGCATCATTTTGCATGTATTTTACTCATTGCTATGAACTGGTGAGGTACCAACAGTGGAACATAACCGGTTATAGATTTTATGCAGATCACAATGAAAGTGCTGATGTTATGAGATTCGATGCTCCTGACGTCACATCTGCCTGGAAACTGTGGGGTTAAGCCCCATTCTAACAGAGCTGCCTGAAGTTACAGTCAGCACTACAGTCTTCAGTCACCTGGAAAACAGTGGTTTATTTTGCCGCCGTCATTGTTTCAGCATGGTTTAATATGAAATGCAAACATATAATCAGAAGCTGGCAGTCAGCTAGTCTACACACATGTGGAAATGTAATCACAATAAGATGATTTCAGAGTAGTTTACAGTAAATAAAAACACAAAATCTAAACAACCAAAATGTGCATTTGTCTGACATGAACAGTTCCCCGTCAGCACTGATGTACATGGAGGAAAATGAAGAGAACCTATCACTCTGTCTGAACTCTGTTTCTTTTCTGCTTTTGCAATTCTTGTGAATGGGATTTCACAAGAATTGAAAAAGCAATGTACATAATGAAATAGGTCAAGGTCAAAGTGTTTATTTGTCAAATGCACAGTTAGGAAACATGTTTCCCTGTACAATGAAATTCTTACTTTGCCGTCCACATGAATTCTACATAATACAAGTGAAATATAAAGTAGATGAGCAATAACACAAATCTAAATAGGCAGTAAAATCACAAATCTAAGGCACTTTAAAGCAGCAAGTGAAGGGAGTGAAATACAGACAAACAAACAAACAAACCATAACTGTAACTTAAGAACAAGAGCAATCCAACCTACTAAGCACTTTGCTCTCAGAGTGCAGGTTTACTTGTGGTTCCTAGAGTCCACAGAAGCAGAATGGGAGGCAGAGCCTTTAGCTATCAAGCTCCTCTCCTATGAAACCATCTCCCAGTCTCCTTTTTGATAAAGCTTATAGTTAGGGCTGGATAAGGTGACCCTGAGCCTTCCCTTAGTTATGCTGCTATAGGCCTAGGCTGCTGGGGGGCCCCATGATGCTCTGAGTTTCTTTCCCC